TATATAGTATAATATATATATATACTATATATATATATATATATATATATATATATATATATATATATATATATATATATATATATATATATATATATATATATATGTTTATACATACATATATATATATATATATATATATTTATATATATATATAATATGAACATATATTTTCGTATAGGAATATATGTCAGCACTTACTTGCTACTTGTATATATTGAATCAGTATGTGTCAATCAACACGGCTTCTATGCCAACTGAGGGTTAGCAAATGACAAACATAAAAACTACACGCTATCTTTGAGTACCTAGAAACTAAATTCAAAAGTTTCATGCACCAATGTAATTTCGATGTACCTGAATTGCTTAGGTAGAGCGGGTATCTCCCATAGCTGGTCGGGCTCGTCACTAATAAATAGAGGATAAATCAGATTATCCTTGGTAACCTTGCTCTCTGTAGACTGCCAGCCTCGCAGTACATCAGTGTGGAAGCCAGACTGCAGACGATGTGTTTGGTAGGCCATTGTGAAGGCTGTACAGTATATCTTAATATCTTACCTCTTATTAAGATATTATGTATTTGTGTGTGAGCGACTGTGCGCGCTGATCTGAAGTGTTTGGTATATATAATATATATTGTTCAGCTGAAATGCCGGATAAAAAATACTTACCAGTAGAATGATAAGTACAAAAGTACTGAGTATTTATTTACACACAGGGGGGATCTTTAGCCTCCAACTCTTTGCTGATTGCTACAACGTATGAACGTGTAAATAAAAATCAAAAGTCTCCTATTAACTCCTTCGGAAATCAAACAACTCCGGTACAAATTGGCCCAGAGGGTTTTAAAATGAACAACGTGATTTATAGTTTAAAATTAGTGATATTTGCTGCATAATTTAGAAAGCTATGTATTTGCATCCATTTATTTGAGAGTGTCTTTGGGATTGTTCAACTTAGGAGCTCAGTTCGTTTAACGTTTAACGTTTAAAATCCATCGCTTTTGCGCTAAGGATAAACGTTTATTTACGATATGGATTTCCGATTTCAACTGGGTGCGAGCAGTGTATCTATTCTACTACGTTAAAACGTATGAAATTTAATATGTTTTACGTTAATGAGTGCCGAACGTTAATTTTAATTTTAAAAACAGCGGCTATATGTTCTACCGCCAAAACTGACATCTACCCTTTTTGAAGATTATTGTCAAAAGTGAAAAGTGGTCGGCAATTTGTCGTTCGGAGTCTCAGGACTCAGGAGTGACTATCAAGACTCAAGGAGTCCAGGACTCAGGAGTCAGGAGTCAGGACTTCGGAGACTCAGTAAGTCTCAGGACAGAGTGGGGGGGGGAAATAAATATATCATACGAAATTTGAATGTAGCCATCAACAAGCCATGAATGACCCTGGGCCTACATATAGAGAAAAATTAAAATATACCACAGCGGACTAAAGTCAGTAGGACATGTGGCCGCTTCGTACTTACTAATTAGAGTTCATACATAGTCCACTAAAAAGTGTTGTTGTTGCAACTTGCATGACCCTCGGGCCTTGCTGTGTGTCTCTCTCTCGAGAGTGGAATTGTAGCTGGCTCACTGACTGGCTGGATGATAATTGGATTCTCCCCAGCCGACTGAGCCGAGGGCAAAATCATTTCTGGTTGTGAATTTTATAAAAGTTGTTGTTGAATGCTGTTTGTTCAAACATTCGAATTCCAAACATACGCGCAATACAGTAGAGCATAAGTATTCACTTTATACTATAAGTATGTAGGAAATACATAATCTTCAATATGTTCACAGGCATATCAGCTCTATATGTGGAGTGTAGTAGATGCAAAATTTGAAATAAATACACATACATATCAACGAAGCTTGACGACTGACTGCCTATTCGGATAGTGGGAAGTTACAATTTCTCGAGATTAACTTTAGGCGTTTACAAATGTACGGGACAATAGGATACATATTGACAAACGCAATTCTTGTCGCTTACTTGCTTGAAACCGAATGCACGTACTTGGTCTGATATTCACGTTTAACACATGTACTGGGATTTGACAAATGAATCGGACCGTAATGACATGTCTATCGACCGCAACCCTTCTATAAAGCCTACCTTTTGGTTTCGCGAAATCGCGTATATGATTCCATGAAGATTAGGAACACCCGACACTAGGCGACAATACACATTTTACTTATTAGACAGGCATCGTAAAAGATGTATTTGTCGCATTTTTACAACTTCTCTCACCTCCAAATGACAATATACATATTTAGTTCAAATTCCGCAATTGCCTCTGTACGCATCAATAAGCTGATACTAAACAGGTAAATACGTAAACAAACGCAAGCTTATGAAAGATGCCTCGACTATGACCTTAGATTTTATTGTATTTGTCTTTATTATTTAATAAAATGTGAACCATAAATCCAATCGACGACCTAAACTTCATCTCGGTAAATAAAAACAGACAACAAACATTATTATGAAAACAAAATAAATACATGCAACTTCTTTTGCGTTGGTTTCAGACAGCCAATTCTCATCCAACGATTCAATGAGTAAGAAAGAATCTCAGCCGGTAATTCCATAGTTTTCTTCACGAACCAACGCAAGTCGAAATCAGAACGTTATAAGCGCAAACTCTGAACCTATTATACAAAAGAAACCCCAAAATCTCGAACAAAAGACAACACCATAAATACACAAAGAATCCTAACCCAAATAACATATTTAATTACGTTATCTAGTTTATTGGGCGCTTTCAACAACCTGGCCAGCGATACGGTCCAAATCTCTGCGACCCTCGGACGAGATAACGCGACCACTGTGTCAAACAAATTTAAGTATACAAAGATCAGTACAACATTCAGGCTAAACTAAATAAAGCACGAATTCAAAAGATTATCACATAGTGTTGGTTTCAGACAGCCAGTTCTCATCCAACGATTCAATGAGTAATAAAGAATCTCAGCCGGTAATTCCATAGTTTTCTTCACTAACCAAACACGTAGAATATAATCAATTGATATCAAAATTGTTGTGCCGAGCTGTATATTGCACATACCCGTTGGCGTGAGCCTCGGTGATACCAATGCTATCCAGCTGCTTGAGCACGGCGCGGGCTACGGAAGCGGAACCAATGTGGGAGTGGTTAGGGGCACAACCTCTGCGCTTCTTTCCACCGAAAATCTTTCGCATGGATCCAACACCTACGGGGGCACGCACGTAGATGTGACGGGCGGCAGCGGCGCAACGTACGTAGAACCAGTCCTGATCATAAGGGGACAGCTCCTTGAAGGTGGCGGTCTTGACGGTGTCAACCCACTTGGGTTGCTGTATTGTACCATAGTTGATAATATCGGTGATGAGAAGGGGCAGAGGAAAAAATGGAAGAGCAAAATACTTGCTATTGTTATCGAGTGCATAAAAGAAGAAAACACAGATGCTCAGAATTTAAACTCAGTGACAGAATTTTCCTCATGAATTTCTCGGAGAGAGGAACGTCAAATCCTCATTGCATCTTAACACAAACTAGTGCATAAACAAAAAAAATACCGAAAGACACCCACAAAAGCAATCTTCTACATACCTCAATCTTGCCGGACTGCTTCAAGTAGTCAGCGAGGGCGACCACGAACTTGTGGGTCTCCACGTCCTTAACGGTAACTCCAGGCATCTAATACAATCACATGATGGCGCGACGATGGATTCACATTTTGAATTGGTTTAGGTTTGGTTCAGGGGTAGAGAGGGGCGAGTTAACAGAAAGCAATAATAAATTACTGCTTCTATGGATACATGGAAGAAGAGAAGAGATAAGTATTTGGATGTTCTGTATCGATGGTGTGGCGTTTCGTTCGCAAAACGTGCATTAGGAAACACGAGACCGAGACACAGGTGGTAAAAATCGATTACACGACGAGAATGCCTACTTAGTGCTCAGGTTTAAACTCAGTATGAAGATGTTTGTCCTCATGAATTTCTCGGAGAGAGGAACTTCAAATCATCAGCGCACTGTCCGGATATTCCACATCACACCATCTAAACTCTACACACATCAAAATAATATCTCATCCATGTCATTCCAAGTAGCAGTATGACAGTACAACTATCCGACGACAAACTAAAGCTATGTATAACCTGTTATGCAAGTGACGCTAGTCAATCAGAGGATCGATGTGCGAAAACTAAGATGCATGGAACATTGCGTGTCTACAGCTGTGGCTTCGCCGCTTAAACTGGGAAGAACTACGATCGCAGGTTCAGGCGTTTCTACGGGCAGAATGTTGCTTTGTGGATGCAGATGCGTGCTCTGTTAGCCTATTCTCAATCAAACTCACCTTAGAGAGATTTCTTAGGGGTTGCAAAAGAGAAAAGAAGGAAGCGTTAGCAGGAAATTCGACTATTATACAGATTATACCACCGTATGTATTTTGAAATCAAAAGTCGAACATTGTTCGCGTGATTGACTCTTTGTGTGTGAAATATGAATCTGCGAGACTCGAGAGTAGTCCACGCTGGCAGCCTACTATCGTAGTGCCCCTCCTCCGCAGCCCGTACTTTACAAACTAAAATAAATAAATACACTCAGTGAAGTCTCTCTCCTCTGTGTTTTTACTACTCCTGTGTGTAGTGTGTACAGTGTAAGAGTATCTATGAAAAAGAATACGACAACTTGATGTACCTACGATGTTTTTAACGTGTTTTTTTTGCAACTGACAAGATACAGTTTGACCGATTTCTGGGTACAGTTTGAAATAAACACATTGTTTATTATTCTTATTTTTATGTTTTTTTTTAAATGTAGTAGTAGTGCTTTCACGGTGAGTACGGAAATTTCAAATTGGAACAAAAATGCACGAACTTCACATAGATCTTTACATACCTTTTTCAACTCTGCTGCAAAAACGTAAGGCTGATGTGTGTGGTTTAGAATTGATGACGCGCCATTGGGTTTAGTATAGGTCATGGACAATATTGGGTTTCGTGATATTTGTGAATTGTATGTCGTTGTAAAGATAACAAATGATATGGTAGCCATCCAGTCGTATAGAGTTGTTCTCGTTCATGTACACATAGCAAATGAAGATCAAGGACTACCTCTGAAGAAAGTGCATTCCTCTGTACCAGTGATGTATTGGTCGTAATTTGCGATGTGAGAGATGAAATCGCCACCAACACCGCTGACACATCACGTAGAAACCATGTCCGAATTTATTTCCGGATCGAGTCGTGACTGTATACACAGCTAGAAGCAGTATTCCGTTTACAAAACTTAGATAATCGGCCAGCTTTAAAACTATATATTCACACTATTCAATACAATTATACTTCACTTCTACCGAGATCGGAATAAGTACTTTTAACTCTATCTTCGTCCACTCCCCGCCACGATGAGTCGCCTACTTCATTAAAACCCTTACGACTTCACTCTATTTCCCTGGACTTGGATGGTAAACTCCCCACTCTGGCTCTTAATTAAGACTCTTTTTTTTTAAAGTTTAATCATTGATTTTGAATCGCTTGTGTGTCACACTATTGACCGATTCTATGTTTGATACCATCGACAGTCTATGGATGTGCCTGCTCTCTTCCAGTCCGAAATCCCCGTGGAAAACCAGAACAACGCCCCGCGCTGTGACATCTATGGCACCACTGATAATCACACTGTAATCGATATGGAAGTACCCGGTTGGAAGGCATGTATAACAACTCAATCTTATAACTTGAGATTTATACCTTAGGCATTAATAAGGGGGTCCACTACTGGGAATCTCACCTGTCTCTTTTGCTAGCTCATTGTAGAAAGAGAACATCGAAGTGCGCTATAATGTGGATCGCTTGATTGTAGAAGGCCGCTTCGATAGTGACGCCAAAGATGATGGTCGCACGTGGAAGGTACCAGCGATCAGTGGTTATGTACAGCCTATTCCTTTTCGATCAGAGCCCATCCGTTCATTTTATCCGCTATTTATACTGCCAATGCTATCAAGTGCGTCACGCATACCACTTATAACTTGTATACTGTTTTCATATTCACTAGTTGAGGGAGAGATCGGCCTCAGGCTTCCACCGCGCCTTCCGAGTTCCACGGGGAATGGACCCAAGCCAGATCAAAACGACTATGCGCGAAGGCATTTTGAAAATCAACCTGCCTGAGCTGCGGCTTAGATCAACCACTGGTCTATTTTCCGGCCTAAGGTTGTCCTGCTGTGCGCTTGCTGTGCTGTTCCCGCAGTTGTGCAGAAGGATATATCGAGATTGTTGTATTGCACGGTGTTCTCTGTTGACACCACATGTGCCAACAATAAAAATTAGTTATTTGAAGAGTCCATACACACTACTTATATTTACAACTTTGATTAAAAGTACAACCGCTATGGGGTATGATGGATGATGAGAATACCACATGTGCCGACAATAAAAATCAGTTATTGGAAGAGTCCATACACACTGTTTATATTTACAACTTTGATTTAAAAGTACAAGCGCTATGGGGTATGATGGATGGTGAGAATTGCAAAAGATATAAACATGCTGTCTAGAAAATGGATACATCTGTACCGCACAATCCAACGGCAAACAGTTGATCGAAATATGGCCCGTTTTAGCATCGAGAACACTCACCTCGACCTATAAATACTCGCAGCATATGTGAAGAGCCAACAGATCGTATGACTGTGCAGAAATTCTAACCGTACCATTGGCATCAAAGCGCACACACGGGCCGCGGTAAACCTGTCCATGACCCACTTTATTTAACTTAATGCCTCTAACTAGTTATCCGCGCCATCTCAACTTTTCGTGGGAAACAGAAACCGACCCAACACCTATGTTGAAGGAATTTTGAATGAAAAATGTGGTTTGAATTACGTGCTCGTGTGTGTTTCTGCTGGATAAGACTTACTCAAGTTGTCTAATCCCATCAATATCATCTATATACTGTGGAATTGATAAGTGGCTATCTCGTGCATTGCAATTAGCGTGTCACCTGTTTGATTGCACAATAGTGTGGAAAATATTGCACTTTCAGAAATTGGCACCTCATGTTTATGTTATACCAAATTACGAGTGGTTTACAAAAGATAAACGGGAATAGAACGCACAACACGCATGACAAATCAACTGATCATGCGAACTGAGCTGAAACTCGGTGTGGTTACAACAATCGACATTAGTGACTGAGAACTAAAAGTATGTACTCTAAAATAAAATAAAATCCCCCAATGAACTAAACCTAAACCCCTGAAGAACCAACCCCAAAACTTTAAAAGAACCAATGTCCTTAACGATCTACTCGGTTGCTGACATCAATTGACGACTACCAACCAGTCCTATTAAATATGGGGCGGTGCAGCATTCTACTCCCATGCACGGGAATAAGAAAAGCGGAGAGCGATGTCGATCTGTGCAATCGCGTTAGGATATACTCGTCGTACTGAACACCGTACCAAAACGCCGAATCTTATTCACAAAAACCGGCGCTGGAAGCCACTGATTTCGGGTAGATTGGGTTTTTGTTTGGAAGTGACAACGGAAGCACAAGTATCATAACTATACGAACAATCGAGGGAATGCGTATATATGGCAAAGGAATAGTCTTACCGTTAACGCTTGGTCAGCGGTGAGTTTGTACACATTGAGGCTGGCCAGATGCTCCAACACCTGTGAGAAATATACATTAATTAAATGGATGTTACATCAAGATAAACCAGTACACGGATAAGTGATAAGGACCTAATTCTCTAGTCGTGTATATGGCGCACACACTCGAGAACATGTGGATTGTGACGATGGCTGGCACGTGCATGCATAGAGGGGTCAGCTCACCTCCGCAGTTTCATCTAGGTCGTCTGATTCCTCGGCTGCTGTGAGTTTTGCCTTAGTTTCCTGTATCTTTTCTAGGTCCATATTTAACAGTAAAACCGTCTCTTTGAACCTGGATGGCACAGAGAGGAGAGAAGGAATACACAATTGAATAGCATTGCGGTGTACGATATAGGTGTAGCGGTGATGTCGCGGAAGATATTAAACTGGTAGAGGTTAATGTGGAGATGGTAAAGAGGAAAAGACTCATATACCCGTTTGGAGCCAGCAAGACATACATTCAAGATCTCCACCTTCAGAACGGACAGTACTAACGGGACTCGTGGCACACAGAGTATGAATATAAATACAGCATTGCCATGACGAACCAGCACATGGCAGTTTGCTTCGGATTGCTCATAACATTGGTGAGTTGAATCGCCATATAAAGCAGGTAGATATCCGAGTTCGCTGTAAGAGAATGGCCGTGTCGAGCGAAACGCGGTACAGCCTAGCGTAGAACAACGGCCAGCAGTGAGAGACGAACACGAACACCAACTCCAGCCGCAACAGGGGGGGATATACGTGTACCTAACTATACCATCATCTGTGGCCTAGGAGATTCTATAGTACAGGCAAGAGATGGAGCTGATAACTACAGGTTTGGTACAGGTTTGGGTGTAACCAACCTTCCGCCACTCGCATAATTTTGCTCTCGCGCACGAATAAACCTTGAGCCAGACACACAAGGCCAACTGCTAAAAATCCAGAAGACAGATACATTGTTGTGGGGACATACAACATATGGGCCACAAACTGAGCCACGCGTTGTCATCACTGAGAGAGAACGTATGGCCTACCCTCCCCTAACGATGCATGTATGCACACGCACGCGCAGTACACAACACGTACGTACTGTTTAAAGAAGTTCTCGGGTTGGTTAGTGTATAGCTTGAACATTCGGAACAGGCACTCCGAATCGATTTGCAGTTGCTTGGCACCGCCCTCGTTGAAGAAGTTGGTGCAGATGACTTCGTTCAGGATATACTGTGAGACTGACTTGGCAATCCTGGGCCAGATGTGGTTGAACAGCTGGTGTGCAATAGGACAGAACAGGGTGCATAAGTAGGTGTGTATCCATACTGTAGAGACTGACTTGGCAATCCTGGGCCAGATGTGGCTGAACAGCTTGTGTGCAATAGGACAGAACAGGGTGCATAAGTAGGTGTGTATATATACCGTGAGACTGACTTGGCAATCCTGGGCTAGATGTGGTTGAACAGCTGGTGTGCAATAGGACAGAACAGGGTGCATAAGTAGGCGTGTATCGTTCGGTATTGAAAGGATTGAATAGCTGCCATGCAATAGAACAGAACAGCATACACGCATAGCTGATACACGCAAAGCTACTGTGTTCACGCATAGCTACTGTGTTTGTCGACGTGAAAAGGGAAGCAGGCAACCAACACAAGAACACACGCACGAAGGCTCCGCACATCATTTGTACAGGACCGAACTGCACCACTTCTGTAAGTACCTGGCATAAACAGATCCTGATAGCAATGCGTAGGCATGTGTGTGTGTGTGCATGATTGCTGGCCAACCCCAAGTCACTGGTGAGACAAAGAACACGCAGGCATAAGCGCATCTGCATGCAAGGTACATGTGACTATCGCGCTGGTATGGGGGTATATATACTCATGTGTATATATACTCATGTGTAAATATATACTCATGTGTATATATACTTATGTGTATATATACGCATGTATATATATATAGTCTCCAAGGGCTGCGGCCCTTAAGTTCGGGTGTCATTTCAGCAGGTCATCACAGCTAGATGCCACCCATGAACGCGGCTAGGGTCCGCTTCCGAAATAGTGCACAACAGACATACTTGTTCGGCTATTGCGAGTCACGTCCATAAACAGTTCGGTACTTTGGGCCGCATCGCACTCCAAAATGTTCATGGACTATATCCTCTACGTCTTCGTACCAGATAAACAATGACAATGACACTACGACATACTGGCTCGGCTAGCGTGTGGTGGGTCACGTCCATAATCAGTTCGGTACTTTGGGCCGCTTCACACTGCATAATACTCATGGACTATATCCTCTACGTCTTAGCACCAGATAAACAATGACAATGACACTACGACATACTGGCTCGGCTAGCGTGCTGTGCGCCACGTCCATGAACTCCTTGATAACCTGGAATGGTTCACACACGGCCAGGGATACGTCTGAGTGCGCGGCTGCACGAGTGGAGGTGGCTACTGTCCACCTATATATATATATATATATATATATATATACGTGCGTGTGTGACAGATGGGGGTGGTGGGGGGGTGGAAAGGGTTCGAGGGCGAAATAATGAGATCATTATGAATAGTTTGTTGAATAGTTTGTTGTATTCGTTTACACCTACTCTTAATACACTGTTGGGGTTGCAAAAGCACACCAAGAAGACAGAATAGAACACCCCGGGGTGCGAGGGGTTGGGGCAGTGCGGGAGAGTGTGTGCGATTGTGTGTTTGTGGGGGGGGGGGGCTGTGAATGTGGAGTTGTAATCTTGGAGCCCTCTGTTATCGGTATGGGTGTGGACGTAATGATAAGCCCAGCAACTACACCGGCTCCTGTACTATACATACACACAGCTGAGCTAACTGAACAGCCTACCTTTGTCTCCGGTACGCTTTGAACAAGGGCAGTATCCCATCCACAGCCGACTTTGTCAAACGCCCCAGTAACTCATCCAGCGCGAGTCGGTACTTCTTCAGAATGCCCTTGAAGACACCACCGCCGTCGCTTGAGCCAGCCGAGGCACTGCTAGCCCATAGGCCCATGCTCAGCTCACTCTCCTGGCCTTCCACTGTGTGGTGGCAAGCACAAGAGAGGAGAGGTTGGCACGTGAGTAGCAGAAGAGGTTGACAGGTAGGTAGCACAAGAAATTGACACGTAGGTAGCACAAGAGGTTGACATGTAGGTAGCACAAGAGGTTGACAAGTAGGTAGCACAAGAGATTGACACGTAGGTAGCAGAAGAGTTTGACACGTAGGTAGCAAAAGAGGTTGACACGTAGGTAGCAGAAGTGGGTGACACATCGAAATCGAAGCACTGGCAACATACCGTCATCAACTATATACTCCGATGGTTCATGCTCCTCCGCCTCACTCTCGGTCCCGCTTTCCGTCCCGTTATGGCTCTCGTCGCCACCATCAGTATCCTGTGCACGTGCTTGTCTATGTGCGTGCCCACCCGTACTCGCCCGAGCCAGACTATCCACGCTTGTCCTGGATGTGGTGCTGTGTTCTGCCCCAAGTGTCCTGCGGTCCTTTTTTATGGCCTCGTAGGTGTCCGCATTGGCCCGCAATCGCTCGTAGATGTCCATGAAAAACTGCGCAGGGTGTGTGTGTGTTTGTATATATATATATATATATATATATATATGTGTGTGTGTGTGTGTGTGTGTGTGTGTGAGAGAGAGAGAGAGAGAGTGTGTGTGTGTCGCATATGTCCGTCAGCAGATAATTTGGTGTCTACAAACGAAATCAAGGGGCTCCCTATTCTCTGGTGGTAACTGAAGTGGGCGTGTGCATGGCCCACCTGATTGGGATGTACTGGAATCGTATTTTAAGGGTCTAAACCCCTAAAAACCCTAAAAGGTATTGGACCCTAGGAGACTGCATGATCAGTGTCAACTATTATCACATGTGATGAGAACTATGCAATACAGTGTGTGAACATATCCTGACCGGTCGAATAGTACCCGTCGCGATGGTGTAGATGGAACCCACGTATTCACCGCACTATTTGATTTTGGGTGCACATGTACCATTTGTTTATACATACACACATACCACTTGCTTATACATACACAAATATCATTTGCTCATACACACAAACTAGTTGCTCATATATACACACATCATTCGCTCATACATACACAAATATCATTCGCTCATTCACACACAAACTATTTGCTCATATATACACATACCACTTGCTCCGACCAATCCGCTACGATGGTGTATAAATAGAAGACTGAGTTAATGTGCATCATGAAGCTTTCCTGTCGGTCGATAGCCTCGTGAAGATCTTCCTGGTACTTCACGGTCACAGTCTCCAGTTCATTAAGGAAAATAGCCAATATTCTGAAGGTCATGCATGTGGATGTGGTGGATGGATATGAATAATGGGATAGCATACTATATATATTAATATATATATATATATATATATATATATATAACTTACACACAGCTGTCTTGCATATTTATTTGAATTATGTGACATATACGTCACACCCCGAGCTTTCCGGCAAATCTGACACCTACGTTCCTTTTAAGAGCCTTCAGATAGGTGTCATACATACTCACCTTATTTGTATGTGAGAGATAAACTGGTATTGCAAAGTCACATCTGACAAGCCATGGTAGCGTTCGGTGATGCTCTGTAGTAGCAGCAGCACATCGCCAGACACTTCAGTAGGCCGGAGACTCTTCATACCCTCAACGCCCTGTCAGTGGAGCAAGACATCATTAGAGGCGTATGTAATGGCCAGTGTAAGGATAGTACTATACTACCGGGGACTGGTGAGTAAAGCGTGCCTGAACCCAATTGCTCAAGGATGAGTCATACTACGGTGTGCGCCAGTGGTGTGAAACGCTTCGTGCACAGGCGCGAAGTGTATCACCAACTCATCCAGCTGCTCTGTGTCAACGTTACCCGTCGAGTTGCCCTGTGACAACGTGTACGCCCCCTATACTCTTAAACACCAGCTGTTGCTAACTAGGACAACGGACCAGGCAGAGAATGAGCATAAGGTCGTTTATTTACGAAAGAGTCAGATAGACGTTCATATATGTGTGACCACTACTGCTGAACAGGGTGCCTGCTATCCACTGTCCCGTCGATGTGCGGAAGGACACGGATATAGAAGGATTTGGGGGTTCTCAATCACAACAACGGAGGGTTTCTATAGCAACGACGAAACTTGCGGACAGCCCAAGTAAATTTCTGAGGTTTTCACAGGCCCTCTGTGATGTTTTACAATCATTTGCCGACCTCCTAAACACATACGAGTCACTTGGCACTGCTTCCATGACTCATCCCATCCCGTAAGCGTATACAAACTCGGTCACATACACAAGTACCCGTTTGTACAAACACACAGCTGCACCGAATGTATCCCTGTGAGCGTCTGGTACATGGACTGGACAGGGATTCACGCGCAAAACTATTTGTAGGGGTAATGGAGTAGACATGTAGATTATAGGACACATTTATCGGGCACACACAGTCCACCGCGATGGTGCATTAAACGGCACTCACTTGATATTTGAAGGTGTTTCCCACGGGCGAATCCATCATCATATCGAGCCTTTCGAGTGCGTCTGTGTGTTGTATTGCATGCATAGGGAAGACGGGTCACCATGAGTGATATATTAATATAGGACTATAATATATAAAATGCGTTTGTTAATATATATCTATATATCTGTGGTATATGATATCATATATTTATTGATGTATGTGTGTGTGTTCAGCAAGGATTAAGAAGAGAACAAGGCGGGGCTCACGCCCACACAGAATAGACTACTCCTCTGACCAACACTACAGTTGCAGGTGCATATATTGGTGTCCATATATTCGGGACATAAGGATAGCTTCACGTCAAACAGACAGTCACGTCCACAGCGCGGCAAAAAAAGAGCACTCGCTATACCCCACACACACAGTCCCTAAATCTCTAAAACCTTAAAACCCTAGACCCTAAATCATTAGCTACGTAGGCCAGAGATACCTCGCACACGGTCCCATATTAGGCCTCATAGGTACAACTAACTGCGATCAGACTGTGCACCCCATTCTTATGCAATAGACCGGGGCGGGACATGCACGAACTGTAAACCTATCGAATGGCAAAACAGGACAGCTGTGTAATAGCCAGCACACAGGACCCACTCTGGTAGCAAATGGGTCGTCTGAAGAAACAGACCCACGGCCTATATTCAACAAGGGTCTACTGATAGCCAGTCATCCTGTTAGATATACTAAAAGTTAATCAAACCTCCATATCACATACAAAACATCTGGTGCTGGGATGGCAAGCCGTGAGCCAGGAAGTACTTCTGATGACACACAGGCGTAGTCGACATGCAGATAAAAAGACTGTTAACGCCCACTTACAGGTAGCTTAATCTAAAGGTTGCTAACACCCACTTACAGGTAGTTTAAGATTAAAAGGCTGTTAACGCCCACTTACAGGTAGTTTAAGATCAAAAGGCTGATAACACCCACTTACATGTAGTTTAAGATTAAAAGGTTGTTAACACCCACTTACAGGTAATTTAAGATTAAAAGACTGTTAACGCCCACTTACAGGTAGTTTCGTACTTCAGCCATAGCGCAAACCGATCTCTGTCGCCCGTGAACACGTGCACGGAGATGGGCAGATCCGTCGGATAGAAGTATGTGCCTATAGAGAATGAAGAAACATGAAGCATGGGTGTATTATACTGGAGCATAAACAACGAACAAATATGAAGCGTGGGTGTATTATACTGGATCATACACAAGGAAGAAACATGAAGCATGGGTGCATTATACTGGATCATACACAACGAAAGAATATGAAGCATGGGTGTATTATACTGGATCATAGACAACGAAGAAATATGAAGCATGGGTGTATTATACTGGATCATAGACAACGAAGAAATATGAAGCATGGGTGTACCATACACAACGAAGAAATATGAAGCATAAGTGTACCATACTGGATCGGCATGTTCCTATGTAGCACGGGATTGTAGCAATGGAGAATTCCTACTTCACTTACGAAAATTACGAGACACTGCGATGTAGACAAAAGACACGACATATGCACACAGGTTACAAAAATGTACATATACACAAATGACTCCACCCAAAGCTGAAACCCGCAAGTGGGTGACCAAACACACCGGCATACAGTAGCGCTACACGCCCTTAAGGTGGAACTTAGAAACAGCCCGCAAATGCGATGGCCCTACAATAGACGTCCGACCACGTAAGTATGTGTGCGCATGTATGCATGCATGTACCATTGAGCTCACCTCACGTGAGTACGTGTGCGTATGTGTGCGTATGTGTGCGTATGTATGCATGCATGTACCTTTGAGCTCGCGCTCGAAGGCGAGCGTTTCGGCTATCACGTGCGACAGAATTTCTCGGGAGGCTGTGAACTTGTCCATGTCCAGCTCTAGCTTCTTATTAACGAGTTTGACGAGGCTCTGGGTGAAGAGGGTCTGCAATAGGCAAGGCATGCCATACGGCCCAATTAAAAGTTGGTTCAGAGAACTGTTATATGTCACGTGGTTGTACGAGTGCCTCCTGTGATCACCGCATTCTGTGTAGCCCGGTCCGCACCACTGGCGGGGTGTGTGCTGCGTTGGCAGGGGGCAATGCTTAACGCGTTGGTTTATGTGCGAGTGTTAGGGCAAGCACATGGTGCAATATCTATTCTTCAGACACACGCACCACCAACACTTGCGTTGACTCGGACAGGTACCCAATCACCGCTGAGATCCAGTCGCCCTATTTACGCCCCCATACCACTGAGAATGACAAGGACAAGGGTCGACCGTGGTTTCAAACCGTTGCCACGTCACGCATCAAACGACATATATACTGCACCCGGGACCTCTAACTGTAACGAACACAGACACGCCGTCCGTCATTCGCTGCATACGCCCAACCAATACCCCTTCGTATGGAGACATATAGCTTGTGGTTATCGTACATAGAGAAAAAGGGAAGCTCTGTTCACGGCAGTGCGGCACAGGCCGTTGCAACGGGCAGCGTGTTTAGTTAAAGGCCTCACACCCAGCACGCGTAACACCACATCAGCAATTTTGAACGCGTTTCTGAGGGCTGTACTGCCTACAATCACACTTCTGAACACCCGGTACAGTGACACATCTCAGCAAACGCCCCCCAAGACGTTATATGTAACGTAAACGATATCAAACGCCTTCTCAGCACATCCCACCTACCACAGTATGCACTGGTATCTGGCGCCTGTCCAGCAACGGCTGCAGTACTTTGGTGAGCAGATGGAAGTGGCTCTTGAGCACATTGATCAAAAAGGTGTACATCCACTCGGGCTTGTCAATGCGATTGGTTTCTCGCCGCCCCGAAAAGTGATACCTGTGTTCGGATGTAGTAGGTAAATTCCAATGTGGATTGGGGAAGAAACGGATACAAGCGTCAATGAAGGGTTGGAGTGGTATATACGCAAAACAATGGCGCATAAGTACATGGATTCCGACTTGTGAATGGGATGGGTCTGTAGCCCACCTGAACGGTGATATATGTGGGCAAAGCAGCGGATAAATCCTAATTCTAAGCCGAAAGAGGTATGGCCTCTTAACAGCCCTCGTTGTGAGACTTTACCTCATACCTGTGACCCCACACACTTACACAACATCTCATCCGTAACTCAGTGCTGGACATAGACGGTATATCGCAATGCAACCCCCAGTGAACTAAGTGCGTGAATCCGGCTGTGCATAACAATGCGATCCGACTAACACTCGGAGCACCGCTCACGTTTTACGTATAGCTGTAACTCGGGAGAGCCTTTGTGTTGTGACCGCAAGTGCCCTACCTTAATAGAATGGAATTATGTAGTTCGGAACACATTCACACACATTAACGAGACTCCGGGTTTAGTCTGGCAGCAACGTGTTGCGTGAGTGTCCTGTGTTCCTACGCAACGGAATGGTTTACAGATTAACAGGTCCGACAACTGTACTTTGGCCTATGGTGGGGATACAACCAACAGATCCTCGTGCCCCTTCTCACCTGAAGCGTTTCTCCAGCGGCTCCAGCATTAGATTGAGCGGTAGCAGCGACAAGCGTGTTGGCGGTTGCTCTGGCTGTGACATACTGTCGGGGAGTGGTGCGTCGGGTTCCTTGTCATCTGCGTTGTATGAGCATATGAGCAAAGGCTGTGCTTAGCAGATGAATCGTAGTTGTTCTTTTGTACCCTGGTCGCAGGCTGTGGTGGCGTACAAGTATAGGGCATGAACTGGACAACTCGACTACTTTGTACTGAACAATGAGGCCGCAATGGGTACCTCTCTGAACATATGCAACACTGTGAACAGTCACACCCATTCGCGTATGTAGTCACGTATAGCCACCCTGAGCAACTATTGGCACACGAGGCTCTGCATACTGTTTCGGCGCGAGCCTTTATATGCAGTAAAAGACTAGCAAACAGAATGAACCCCGATTTGGGGTCCAGTCTCGCAGTGTGGTTTAAATACTTGGCATATGTACATATGTACATATGTTGTTGTTCAACCGATCTGGGGTACAGTCTCACAGTGTGATTTAAACAAATGACACATGTACATATGTTGGAGACCGCCAGGGTGCATATATTGGAGATTGTTTGCAACACCATCAATAGACGACGCCAGTGGAATGTACATATGAGCAGACGTTATACTCCAGCCATCGGCCGGTACTACTTTAAATAAGCCAATACTCCAGCCATCGAGCAATTGAGAAGAACTCCTTCGTATTTGTACCTACATAGATTACTATACGAGTCTGATCAAGAGCGTTCTACGTATCCCGTTAGCACATTCGGTAAAGTGTTGGTATAGAAGCAGCAGTAGGTATCAGCGTGACCGATCTCTGATCTCACCGCCTCCATTGGCTTTCATTGTGCACCTACTATAACCTGCAAAACTACACAGCTACAAAGCTTCACATCCAGGGTCCTCTATTCCTATGCCCTGCTTGCCCAGAGGATTGGCACCCAATGGGTCCGGTTTTGTGATATCTACAGCTAGGCAGGTTAATCGACCTACTTGCCTAGCATAGCTGGAAATAACACATCAATGCATTACCATCACACAAACGTCCTGTGTCAGCTGCAGTACCATCACACAAACGTCCTGTGTCAACTGCGAATATGGAACCAAACATACCAGCCCCACTTTCGTACGGCGATTTGAGGTCAAGCATTAAACAAAACATCAATTGGAACCGGATGAGCCCTTTATTATACGTATCCGGTTTGCCCAGCTTGTTGCTGAACGTTTGTGGCCAGTGCATTTGTTCCAACGCCACTCGGAAATCATCTGAGTATCTGGAGAGCGATACAGGTAATGATGAAAATAGGCAAAGCTATTAAATAGAGGTATATACACGTCGTATACGTATAGATATAGATATATATATATATATATATATATATATATATATATATATATATATTATATATATATATATATATATATATATATATATATATATATATATATATATATATATATATATATATATATATATATATATATATATATATATTATATATTATATTATATTATATATATNATATATNTATANATTTAATTNNNTTANNTAATTNATTAATAATTTTATATATATATNTATANTATATNATATTANATT